GGCCTCCCGGTCAGAGGGCTCAGCTGCTATATTCCCATCACCGTCTCTGCCTTCGCCTCCACTGGGCTCCTCCATCCATCAGGCAGGGGTCCCCGGGACCCCGCCCGGGGCTCGGCACCCAGCAGGCACTTCTGACTGTAAACAAAAGTGAGGATGGACGGATGGTGTCAGAAGAGACTGGAGCCGAAACCGTGGATAGAGCGTTGGCCTGCGGACTGAAAGGTCCCAGGTTCGATTCCGGTCAGGGGCATGTACCTTGGTTGCCGGCACATCCCAGTAAGGGGTGTGCAGTAGGGGGTGTGCAGCTGACTGATGTTTCTCTCTCATCGATGTTTCTAACTCTCTGTTTCTCTCCCTTCCTCTCTGTAAAAGATCAATAAAATATATATTAAAAAAAAAAAAGTGAGGATGGACTGATGGTGTCAGAAGAGACAAGCAGCCAGAGGCCAAAGGGTGGGGTGGGGGCTGGGGGAAAGGCTCTGCGATGGTGGAAATGGAGGCGGTGTGACAGGTGGGAGTGAAAGACACCCACGTGTGGACAGACACCTCCCCACCCAAACACGCACAGCCCTCTCGCCCTGATGTCAGGCCTAGTGCCCTGGGCCTCTGTGCGTGGCTGGGAGAGGGCCCCACAGGGTCCTGCAGTGAGGGACCCGGCCCCAAAGGCCTCTGGGTTGCACAGGCTGTTCCTGACTTAGTAGAACCCCTGACAACAGATCCCAACTCAGCTCTCCAGCGGGGAGGGGAAAGGGGCCTTTCTCAGCCCAGCCCTGAAGATCACCTTGCTTGTTACCCCTGAGAACGGGTTGGAAGGCCTGGGTTCCAGCGTGGGGTGGCTGGGCTGTGTGACCTTGGGCAGGTGACTCACCCTCTCTGAGCCTCAGTGTTCTGCCTGTGCAATGACCTGCCTGGGAGGAGTCTACATTCTGGCAGCGTTTTCCCTGGTGATGACTGCTTCTCCATCCCGGCGTGTCCCCCCTCTTCCCCCCGACCCCCCAGTCTCCAACAGCCCGAGGTGTCTCCAGAGAGATATGCCCATCGAGGCGGGGACGGGGCCTGCGTGGAGCCCAGGACCCCCATCCAAGGGATGCCGTCGGCCTGGGAGACGCGGAAGCCAGGGCCCACCTGTGACTCCAGCCCGGCAGCAGGGAGCGCAGGGACAGCAGTTGTGGATGGTCCCCAGCCTGGCCTCCCCCAGCCTCCGCTGTCCCAGCTACAGAATGGGCAGAAGGCTGCCATCCGTCCCCCAGCCGCAGAGGGGGGGAGGGGAGAAGACACCACAGTCAGAACGGTGCCCCTCCGCCCTGCCCCCGCCACGGGAGCCCAGGGAGGAACCGGGAATTGCCGGAAAGCGGCTAAGTCACATCGCTGTCCAGCTGTGGGGACCACGTGAAAACCCAGGCTCTGGGGGAGGGAAGCTGTGGCCTCTCGGGGGTCACGTGGCCCAAGGTCACCACATTCCCCACCACATGGACCTGCCAGGCTTCAGAGGAAACCTCACAAGCCGTGGGGAGCGATGGCAGCCGCCCATGAGGGAGGGTGAGGGGGCGCCGGCTGAACAAACAGCAGCCCCGGCCTGCGGCCCAAGCCCGTCACCTGGACTTCCTTTCCTGGCGGCGTTCACGAGGGCCAGTGCTGTGTGTGTGTGTGCCGCGCATACACACACACACACACACACACACACACACACACACGGGCGCCTACCCCGGCACACACCACAGGCATGCCTCTCGGCACACACCATGCCGGGCGAGCCGTGGCCCCGGACCTGGCTTGCCCCACGTGCGGGATAAGAACACAACGGGCAGAGGTTGGCACACACCAGCCCAGAACATGGCCTTCCATCTGCTTTTGTGCAGCCCACGGGCTGAGCGTGAGAACGCGGCCATGTTCATTCATCGACACGCCGTCCCTGGCTGCTCCTACGCCACCACGGCGAGAGGAGCTGGTTCGGTAGAGACCGTGGGGCCCACACAGGCCAAACTGTGTCCTGTCTGACCTTCCTGGGAAGCCTGCTGGCTCCAATGCTAGGGCACTAGCAAGCAAGGCTGGGCAGGCCGCTGCATCCCCCAAGTTCAAGTTCAGCCTCAAGGGACGCGTCAAGAATTTTACAATGACAAGATCTAGATAGCTGTGTCTATCTCAGTACATATATGCAAGCTTTGGGTTTTTCAACTTTACACTGTTTTGTGGGGGGAGGAAGGGAGGGAGGAAGGGAGAGAGAGTGAGCGAGAGAGAGAAGAGGGAGAAGGGAAGAGAAGGGAGAACCTTTTTAAGATTTAGGATCAGCCACTCGTCCTGTGCGTCTATAATATTTAGCACACGTGAGGCACATGGTAGGTGATTGGTCAAGGTTTGTGGGATAAAACAACAGGTTTGGTTCTTTCCATCAACCCAACGACCTGCCTCGCAAAGCTGCTGGCCATGTCACAGATGTGGAAACTGAGGCCTGGAGAGGCGAGGACGCCTGCCTGAGGGTCTCCCCTGGACCATTAGCAGTGAGGACAGGATGTCCTGGGAGAAGTGGGGCGCACACACACTAAGACACGTCCGGTGGGGACGCACCGCGCCCCTCCCTCTAGCAGTCTGCCCGGTTTTCGAGGTCCCCCGCCTGCCCCCAGGGTTCCCAGTCTTCCCCCTTGCTGGGTCTGGGCAGGCTCCCAGGAGCGCGGGGAGGGAGGGATGAGGGCTTTTTCCCTGTTCCGGCAAACGGGCAGGCGCGGAGTGAGCCGTTCCAGGCAGGGGTGTGGCAGGGGTGCGGCGGAGAGGAAGGGCCTGCGGAAGGGGGGGGGTGGGTGGAGGAGCGAGGACCCCAAGTTGGGGTGCTGTGAAGAGAAAAGGACCCCAACATGGGGGGAGAGCGAAATCAAAGACAAATTGGCCAGCTCAGCGGCCTTGGGTGGGACTAGCCCTGTTCTAAGGAACTCAAGTCCCCACAGCAGACCCTGGTTCCACCCAGCACAGCTCTGAACCTGCAGGAAACACCGAACTGGGAGCCGCAGCGAGAAAAGCCACCTCCTGCGGGCGACCTCGGCCTCCAGGAGGAACCAGAGCATGCAGGGGCACTTCCTGTTTCCCTCGGCGGCACCTGCCTCAGGAAGAACGGGCCCAAGGATGCGACGGTGATTTGCTCCAAACATTTAAAGTCCTTCTCCTGGCCATCCAGGCCGGGCTCCCACCTCATCCTGTGTCGCCTTCCCCACAAGCACGGCACCAAACGCAGCGGGTTTGAACGTCCTCTCCTTCCTACCCCAGGGCCTTTGCACGTCCCCCCTGCCCGGAACACGGTGCCCTTCACTCACTCTCCTAATTCCTGTTCTAACTTCCTTCCTCAGTGAGCCTTCCGTGACATCCCCCACCTCTCCCGGGACCACGTTTATCTCATGTCCGCAGGCCTGCAGCCGATTATCTGTGAGATTACGTGTGTGTTTGCTCCCCGACTACCCCAGCTCCACCGGAACCTCCAGCCGCAGCCCCGTGGCGACCCTCTGCTCAGGGCCGGCTCCTCGCCGTGGCCCGGTGCCCCGCGCAGGGTCGGACACACAGCGGAACATGAATACACGGTCACGTGGCGGCGGGAATGGAAGCTCGCACGCCGGGACCCGCCGTCAGGGCCGGGGGTTATGGGGACGAGGATGTTCTGAGAGGTCACATCCATAAACAATTTGTCGTGGGCCCGCCTGGCTTCCACCCTCAGAGACCATCGGCGAGCCCCGTGCTGCGTTCTAGAGCAGGTGGCCCCCAGCCTGTGGCGATGATGGCCTGTTCTAATCTCCCTGTCCCGCAGGTGGCTACCAAGCACTTGCTCGTGGCTAGCAGGACCGCGGGACTGAATTTTAAATTGTGTTTAACTTTATCTCACGTGAGTTTCAATAGCCACCCGGGGCTCGTGGCTGCCGTGTGGGGACGGCACAGCTCTCGAGAGAAGGGACATGTCCTCCTGCCTGTCCCGTGTGGTTCTGCCACCCAGGGGTCCCCCGGAAAGCCCTCGAACCCCCACCCGCTGGCCCTCGGGGTCGAACAGGACAAGGAAGGATTCGCCAGCAGCCTCCAGGAGTCCGGGCCTCACCACCCCACCACTGCCCACCCGCTTGGCACAGAGACCACCTGGCCGCGGTGATGGCACGTCTCCGGAACTGTTGTCACCTCTCACACCATGGCCAAGACTGCCACCAGCCTCCCTCTCTCCATCAATAATCACCCCATCTCACCGACCCCCAGACAACCACCAGCACAGCCGTCAACACCACAGTCACTACTCCCACCACCAACTCTACCTCCTCGTCTCTACGGCCCCGCCCCCCCACCAATGCCACCAGCATCCTACCATCCCGACACCCCCCACACGGGGAGCCGGTTCGGGGCACCCGCTCAGGGATCCAGCTGTGGGAGTCAGTGGCCTGCGCCTGAGTCCCAGCTCTGAGTTCAAACCCCTTAGCTGCCGTGAGCCTCAGTTGCCTCCTCTGTAAAATGGGAGGACGGCTGATACTGAACGCAATCGTGAGGCGGAACCGCCCGCGATGGGAAAGAATCAAGTGAGGAAGTGCATGGCGAGTCCTTTCGCCGCGATAATGGTGTGCCAGCGTCCTACGTTCTGTGCTCAGCGAGCCCAAGTTCCTTCCATCCTCACGAGGTGGTGAGAGCTATGGACCCATTTTACAGATGAGGAAACTGAGCCCCCGGAGAGGGGATGATGTAACTTGCCCAAGGCCGTGCAACTGAGAGGCTGGATCGGGACTGAAGGCTTACCCTGGACGAGGCCAGGCTGTCCCGTTTTTTGGGGGGAAGACAAGGGTGGGGGAAAACGGGGGTGGGGGGTGGGGGGGTGGAGGTTGGATCAACAGACTGGCCTTCCTGAAGCCCCAGGCTCCCTCTTGAGGGATGCTGGGGGATTTCGGCATCTCCCCAGGAAAGGTGATGTGAGGGAGGGAGGGATGCTGGTGGCGTTAGTGGCTCGGCCTGGCCCGAGGGTGGGGTGGGGTGGGGTGCCGTCCGCTCACCTGTGTCCTGGCGGAACTGGTGCATGGACTGCAGGTCGATGACGTAGGGCACCAGCTGGGCGTCCACCTGGCCCAGGACCACGGAGCCGCGGGCGTCCTCCTTGAGCACGTTCTCGATGTGGTGACACACGGTGGCCGAGTAGGGGCGCCAGCGGCTGTGCTCATTCAGCCACTCCCACACCACCACGCGGGCCACGTTCTGCGGCGGGAAGCCCAGCCCGCTCACCGGCATCAGCACGCCCTGGCCCGGCCGGGACATGGCTGCCGCCGCCTCGGGGGCCAGGACCCCTTGGGGACGGGCCCGGCGCCTGGGCTGGGGGGCAGATGGGGACTTCCCCTCTCCCCAGAGAGGTGGCCGGGCCTGGGTGGCCTCCGGCCCCACGGCCTGTCCTCCGGGAGGCCCCGGGGCCTCGGTCACAGGCGTGTGGGAAGTCTCTCCAGGTCCCCGTAGCCTGTCTCAGTGACAGCAAGTGTCCTTCTTATGACAAACGCTGTTGCTCTAAATTCCTTGGATCCCTTGGCTCAGCCACGGGAGAGAGGCAGCCGCCCCTGCTCCAGGTCCAGCCTCTCGCCGGCTGGTCTGTCCTCCTTCCCGGTCGGTCGGCCCAGGGCCTGTCCCCAGGGCAGGCGGGGCCCAGCCGGTCGCTCTCCGTGGCGCCCACCAGCCCTCTGAGCTCCCGGCTGCGTCCCGGGCCCCAGCCGGGCCCCGCAGGGCCGCTGGCCTTCTCGGGGCCGCCCCACCGACGGCTCCTACTGGCAGGGGTGTCCCTGTCCCGGGGGCCGGCTCCACGCGTCCTGGAAGGCCTGAGCGGCTGAAGAATCCACGGGGATGGAGAGGAGGGGGAGACGGCGTGTCCACAGCCACCTTCCGCTGCGGCTCCGGAGCTGCGCGCAGGGCCCAGGGGGCGGGGGCGCGGGCACGCCCCACCCCACTCGTGCTCGCGACCTTCGGGGAGAGAGACCAGAAGGAGAGGGCCCTTTAAGAAGAGAGCGCGGTACCCCCTCTCCCCTCTGCCTTCCCCCGAGCGCGAGCGATCGCTGCCCGGAGAACAATGGGGAGCCGGTGGGGGTGGGCAGCGAGGGGGGGAAAGGGGTCCCCGCCCGCGGTCCCCAGGGGCGGGCTGAAGGCAGGGCGGGGACCGGGGCAGGGTTTTCGGGGACTCTGGCCTGCGAAGCCCCCTCTCCAGCCCCCCCTTCCCCCCCCCGTGCGCTCCTCCCCCTACCCGGATGCGGGGCGCGGGGATGCGGGGCGCGGGGATGCGGGGCGCGGGGATGCGGGGCGCGGGGATGCGGGGCGCGGGGATGCGGGCGCTGCAGGCCTGCCCAGGCCCCTCGGGGGTCGCGTCTTGGGAGAGGCGAGGCCGGGGCTGGGTCGTCCTGGCTCCCGGCCTGGGGGTAAGAGCCCCCCGCCCCAGCCCAGCCCCCCCAAAGCGCGTGCGGGCCGCAGGAGTCAGGGGTGGGGTCCCGTACCCCACACTCACCGTCTCCCTCGGCCTCGCCTCGGCCTCTGATCGCGTTCAGCGCCGCCGCCTCCGGAGCGGGAGGAGCCGCGGCGCCGCCTCCGCCCTCTCCGCCCGCGGACGCCACCCGCGCCGGGCTTCCACGCGCGGACAGACTCCGCCGCCGCCGGAGGGATGGACGCGGGAGCCGGTGCCGCGGCCGGGATCCCGCGGGTGGGAGGCGGCCGCGCCGTGCACAGGGGCGGGGAGGGGGGAGGAGGGGGCGGAGGAGGAAGGGGAGGAGACAGATCGCAGCCCTGAGGCTCACACACAGTCCCTGGGGCGCCCTACACCCCAGCTAGGCCCGCGGGGGACCCAGGAGGTCCCCTCACCTCCGGGCAGGCGCCCGGCATGGGGTGAGGGGCCGGTGGGTGGGTCGCCTGCTTGGAACTCGGTCATCCTGACATTCCCGTTGCCCAGCCCGAGGCTGGCATAAACTAGGTGCTCAGTAAGTGCTTGGCTGAATGAATAAGATCCTTCTTATTGTCTAAAGAAGGATCTGAATACCATCCTAGAGGAGCATTTTCCTCTTCAATCATTCTGGGGGCAGGGAGTGAGGTGGGGCCTGTTTCTGAGCCGAAGGGAGGAATCACGGAATCGGAAGTGTGCACAGAGGGACATGGAGGCCCAGAGAGGGTAAGAAACAGGCCCGGGGTCACACAGCAGCTGAGAGCAGTGCCCAAACACCAACCCAGAGCAGATTCTCCCGGAACCCAATTCGCCAGCCCAGAGCTTACGTCCCCCAGGCCCACACCCGCTCCAGGTGAGTGGGGTGGCAGCAGCCTCCTGCCAGGGGGTGTGGCGGGGGACTCAGGCCAGGAGGCAGAGATTTTCGGAGGGAGGAGACAAGGGCAAGCCCTCCTCATCTCATTCGCAGTTGCTTACAAACACTAGGTGCTCAATAAATGTGGGGTGAGGGTTGGCTGGCCGGGAAGGGATGCAGGTGTCAGGTGACAGCAGCGGCTCCAGTGAGGATGGGATGGCCTCTCCTCTGGCATGCTGGATGCAGCTGAGGACACACATCGGCTGGGTGGGGTGGTCCCCCCCCCCCCCCCCCGGAGGCCGGCGGGTGTTTGGATTAGGGGAGATGAAGGATGCATCCGGGAACTCCAGTCTGGGCAGCAGATGGGGGTCAGTGGCCTGTGTGGGAGCCTGCCCAGGGCGGCCCACGCTCCCCTTCCTCCCCCAGGGCAGATGGTGATGAACTAGTCGAGGTCAGGGGCAGGCTGCTCGGGGGCGCTTTCCCAGAACCTGAACTCCGATTCCCCAGCCAGCTGGCGTGACCTCCCCTCCCCAGACCCCTGCTCTGTCCAGAAGCCCCATGCCTGATGGGCTTTTCCAGACTGGGTCAGCGCTGCTGCTTGTGTGGGCCTGCGCAGTCGAGAGAGAGAGAGAGAGAGAGAGAGAGAGAGAGAGAGAGAGAGGGAGGGAGGGGGGGGGAGTTCTGTCAGGGGGCAGGGATAAGGCTCCCCAGGACCACTGAGCTCTGGGATGTTAGCCTGGGCTCCCCCGATGGCTTTCAGGGGGTCTGTGAAGGCCCCTCTTACACACAGACATGTCTGTGCATTTTTCTGGGAAGACAGGCTCTGCATTTTTCAGAGGTTCTTCTTCTTTTTAAAAAAATATATTTTATTGATTTTTACAGAGAGGAAAGGAGAAGGAGATAGAGAGTTAGAAATATTGATGAGAGAGAAACATTGATCAGCTGTCTCCTGCACACCCCCCACTTGGGATGTGCCCACAACCAAGTACGTGCCCTTGACCAGAATCGAACCTGGGACCCTCCAGTCCACAGGCTGATGCTCTATCCACTGAGCCAAACCGGTTTCAGCCAGAGGTTCTTCTTAAAGGAGGCTGTGACGCTCACCCACCTTACGTTAGAGAAGGGGATGGGGGATTCCAGGGTCACATGGAAATTTAGCAGGAAGTTGCCAAGAAGTACCCAAGACAGCAGACCGTAGAATGCCATTTCAGGGTTGAGTCAATGCCACCTCCTCTGGGAAGCCTTCCTTGAACTCATCCCATCTTCCCTTCTCCTCCTTTCCCCTTGCCTGGATCAGACATACCGTACCACTGTTAGCCACTCCGGTGCCGCCCCTTCTGGCGTGAGATACCAGGAGACCAGGACCTGAGTCTTATCCATCCTGTACAATGCGGCTGGGGCTCTGTATGTGATGGTTATCGGGTGTCACGTACCCATTGTGTGCCAGGCACTCACAAGCCAATGGGACAAACACTTCATCGTGAACTTAAAAAACAACAACAACGTGTATGTATTAAATCCGTAGAAAAAGAATCCCGGGGTTTTCTCTTCTTCGTGTTTTCGTCTTGCTTCCTTGCAGCCAGGATATTAGTATGTTGTCAGTACGACGGAATTGAACTGACGAGGCGGGAGAAGGTGACCCGGCCACGTTCCCGAGTGTCTGAGCTCCACATCAGATCTGGGACCGATCGCCATCAGCTCAGCGGCACGTGAGTGACGCTCGCAGTGATGTCCTCGCTCTGGTGTGGGCTTCTCAGGAGAAGATGCAAAGTGGAGAGCAGGCGCTGCACCCGGGGACCACCCCTGGGCGATGGGCGGAGACCCAGGCCAGCCCTGATGTGGTTGTGGGATGGGAGCCAGCCCATTCACGAAGTGCTTTCTAGGCAATATATTTAAGATTTATTTTTGAAATATATCTTTATTGGTTTCAGAGAGGAAGGGAGAGGGGGAGAGAGAGACAGAAACATCAACCATGAGAGAGAATCATTGATCAGCTGTCTCTTGCATGCCCCCTACTGGGGATTGAGCCTGCAACCCAGGCATGTGCCTGACCGGGAATCGAATGGAGACATCCTGGTTCATAGGTCAACTACTAAGCCGCTCTGGCTGGGCTTGGGGGACTTTATGAAGCAATTTCAATCCTCCCAGGTATTGGTACAGATTTCCCAGCTGAGGAAACTGACGCCCACAGAGGTTGTGACATGCTCAGGGAGCAGCCGAACCAGAAAATCCTTTGGCGCCGTTGGCTCTGGGATAGGAGGTGTGTGGCCCATTTCATTTTGGGTACCCTGGGGCAGGGGAGTCCTTGTCCCCCTCCTTCTTCTCCAGCGTCTGGGTCATCTGGAGGCCTGGGGGCAGCTGGGTGGGTGGGCACCCAACATCCAGGACCGCTGTGTCTCTAACAGAAGGCAGGGACCCAGAGGGAAAACGGGGCTCAGAGTGGGGAGGGACAGGGATGTCTCCGGAGTGCTGAGCAGATCTGGAACAACTTGGAGACTGGGTGAGAGAAGAGAGAGGGAGAGAAGAAGGAATGGAGAGGAAGGGAGGGAGAGGGGATGAGGAGGCAAGTGGGAGAGTGGGGGAGAGATCTAACTTTCTCAGGGACCTTGGTGTCTCCCCCCCCCCCCCCCCCCCGTGGAAACTACCATTGAAATGATATAGGAATGGGTGCACTGCGCCTCCTGGTGGTCATTTTGCTCTAAAGCTGAAAGGATTTCCAGGTAATTCATCTTTATTTACTTTTTATTGTGGCAAAAACAATTTTATGTGGTAACATAAAATTTACCATTGTATGGATTTCTTTTATTTTTAAAATATATTTCTGTTGATTTCAGAGAGGAAGGGAGAGTGAGAAAGAGGCAGAAACATCAATGATGGGAGAGAATCATCGTTCCGCTGCCTCCTGCATGTCCCACACGGGGGATCGAGCTCGCAACCCTGCATGTGCCCTGACCTGGAATCGAACCGTGACCTCCTGGTTCATAGGTCAATGCTCAA